GATTTTTAAATGGTGCTTCCCAAATCCCACCAGCCCCCCCTCCCTCATAAAAAATGAACGGTCCCTTACCGGGCCGCAAAGACTTTGAAGTTCAAACGTGCTGTCAGTTACAACATGAGGAACTCTGTCGACATGTTGCAAAACGTCAAGTTATTGGAGGCTTGCATCTGATGAAACTAAAACTTTAGAAGGATTGGTACTACGATTATCAGTTGAGTAAGGCACGACGGAAGTTTGGTGACGAAGTTTCGGACTCAAAATTACCGTGTCACGGGCAACTTACCTTGTTTCCATTGGTAACAATATCAACAGCCGTACCTCTCATGTCGCGTCACCTACAATTTCGCGCGCTTTGCTGCTAATGACGTCAAAGGCCGACAGGTTGCTATTTTAAACGGAGCCAGTCGCTCGTGACAACAACACGATTTTCACGTTAAAACCTGGTGGCCAAATACTCAACTGATAATCGTAGTGATATCTCGGAGAATGATCACGTCAGATGAAATAATAAGTAAAACCCAATCAAAATGCGAGATGTTACATATTTAGCTAAGCCTCGAAGGGGAGCTCACATAAAATTCTAATCATTCACTGGACACAATATGAACTTAAAAAGAAATTCACCAATATAAAACATTTCACCAAACAGAATAAATTGAGGAAATCTTCATAAACAATATGCAAATCGCGATGTGCAAGGGTCATCCTGGTCGTTTTCAAAGCATAAAATACGCCGCGAAAGGTGGCCGAATGAAAGAAATGTTCAAGAAACTTCGTTTAAGATTTATTATCATTCAGTATAAAGCCAAGATATACATTTGGACGGGGATTGTGCTTTTCAAGCAAACTTGCAGCTCTATAGCTTGCGAGAGTCGTAAGCAAATCCAACCCGGTGTAACAGAAGAAGAAATTTTAGCAGTCGACGACTGGAAGCAGCTGTCCTTACAATAACAAAGAACAGTACAAAATTTGGTTATATTATTTTAATACGGTTTTATTATTTTTTGCCGTGAGGTTTTCGGCCAAGGAAAGTCCGAAAACCGACTCAAAACTATTTGGTTACAATTGCAATTTATAACAACTTCGACAAAGAATCTCAATCGAGTGCTTTTGTTTTGTTTGTTTAGAGGTAAGCGAAATTAAAGCAATGAAATTTATAAAATGTCTTACAGCATGGTTTCAACTCAGGAAGACTTTACGACTCCTTTTGAAGCTATCTCGCCTAAGTAACTTGACAAGATCTGACAAGTGCTAGCAAAAAGTTTGTCGGCAGTTTCTACAACAAAAGGCGCACACCGCAATTCTGTAATTCGCTTCAGTTTGAATCCTCTGGGCAGGAACTTCCACCAGAAGTTCTGAAGAGTGAACTGAACAAGGGTTCATTCCTTGATCTTGAAAAGATTAAATCTTTTCAAGATCAAGGAGTTAACCACTTTTTCCGCTGTGTTTACCGCTTTGTAATGTCAGTAAACACACGCAGAACGCTTTGATTTCTCTTGTTGATCGCCTGATGAATCGTGTGACCATTTTGCGCGCGAATCAGGGGCTCTGCAGTCATTTTATCGGCAGTGGCTTTACCAGGCCTTTCAAAAAAATCAAATCCAACTTCAAAACAATACTATAGATGTATTTTGCTTTCTGAAGTCCCGAAAGCTGCATTAAATCGGCGATCTGTTTTCAAAACACAATTTAAACCGAATTGATCGCCATGTCATCGTGGGAAAGAAAAATTCTTCTTGTATTCTTCACCAGCAAGGTTTCTATGGATCTCTACCCAATAACTTTATTCGTCGGTGTTTCTGCATTCCATTTTAAGGTCAAAAGAGGTAATTTTCTGTGCTATGAACGGAATCAAGACCTTGGAAGCCAAACGCTTTTAGCTCGTTGAGTTACCAGTATTGAAGGGAGGGGGATGATTTGCACCCCTTTCCGGGGAAGCCATTTACATAAAGTAGGGAGCCAGAACACGATGATGTCACAATGCGTGATAAGTTGGCGGTCTTTTGTTAATTCATTACGCAAAATAAATAACGTCGAAGCGCGCGAAGACGGACAAAAATGACAATGATTGTTTGAGACGTATTGCTCAAGCCCCGTGCTGGGGACAGTAGGTTTTCCTAAGCCTGCCCTCTCTATACTCATGCTGATTGGACAGTAAAGACTATTATAAGACATAACACACAAACTGCGGTGAGAAACATGACAATAACATGCATTGTTGTGTTGCATTGATAAACATGACAATGACATGCATTGTTGTGTTGATTGATAAACATGACAATAACATGCATTGTTGGAAAATCAAAAAAACTATAGCTTAATTTTACTTGACGTTTCGTATGTTTCGACATACATCTTCAGAAGTGACCGTTTAGAATAGAAGTAACAACTAAAGTTTCAATTTAAGATAAGTAACTAACAACAATGACGGAAGCTGAAAAAAATGCAAACTAAGAATGATAAAGGTTTTCGCTGCTAACATTATCATTCAGGGTAGGTTTCAATTACCTTATTAGCAGAGTTTCCTTTATCTTACAATTTGTATCCGACCGACCTTTTGCTAATATGTCAGAGTGGTCCCATTTTAAGTTATCGCCAGTTTACGTGACGTGGTCTGCGATAGCAGATGTATGACAGCTACTCGCGATCGATTCATGCAATCTACGTTTTGTGTTTCCAATGTAGAAATCCTGGCAGTCCCAACAACAAACCTTACGCACAACTTTTGACATTTGGGAACGGTTGATCCTATCTTTGTACGGAAAAAGAGACTTGTGATGCGATGAGCGCCTTGGAAACAAACCCTAAGGTCAATGTAACCATAAAATTTATATGTTTGGTAATAATTTTGCTTTGCACCCCTAGATAAGATAGAACTAAGATTATTTCGTTTTGGGGGACTGTGGTGGTTGGATTCCTCGGTCTGTTTGTTGCCTGTTCAAAACATTAATGTTGTAATTGACAATACCAGCAGGGTAACCGTTTTGTAACAACAACTTCTTCCGTTCATTCAAAGAAGAGCGCAAAAGAGAAGGTGACGAAAATTAACAGATGCGGAAACAACGAAAATTGAGCGTTCAGATGAGGTTTACTTTGTATTTCCTAGGTGTGAAGGAGTCCCATTTTGTGTACAGGCCGGTAAAGGTCTTCTTTCGGTAAGTAGATGTTGAGGAAGTAGGACTGTGGCGTTTGATGAGAACGTCCAGGAAAGGGATTGTACTGTTCTCTTCAAATTCAATGGTGAATTTGATATTTGCGTAACTGTTATTGAGGTAGTGTAGGAACCGAGTTGCTGTGTTTTTACTGTCGAATAAGGTGAAGGTATCCGGCGTCAACGTATCAAAACCAAATAGAAGGGCGAGCGTTGTTGTTAAGGACCCATTTCTCTTCAAAATGGCACATAAAGATATTGGCCAAAACAGGAGCCAAAGGAGAACCGTTGCCACACCATCAATTTGGTCGTAATATGAAATGGCTCTTCTTTGTGGCAAACTCAAGCAGAACTTTCAAGACTGAGCGGGGCAGTGTTGGTGGATCGGGGTCGGAGGGCATACAATTTGTCAACACAAATGTGTATTGTCTAAGAGATTTGGGCCCCCTTTGACAAATGAAAACCAAGAAAGACTCAAATGTTAGCTGAAACTTATGGCCGACATCTACACGTATGATTTCTCTAAACAGAAACACATTCTTACCAAAGAGGAATGGGAAGCCCTGACTGATTTGCGAAATGATGACAACATTATAATCACAAAACCTTACAAAGGGAACGGGGTTGTAATCATCCACAAACTTGATTACTTGAATGAAATGAAACTGTTGGTCTCGGATGAAACAAAATCTAAGAAACTTACGCAAAATCCTACGAAGTATAGAGAAGATAGCCTAATATCGTATCTTCGCAAACTGAAGAAGGATAAAATCATCGATGATGCCACGGCCCTCCATGAAATATTACCAAGTGGTTCTACCCCTGCTGTCCTCTATGGTCTTCCTAAGCCTCCATTCATGTCCAATACACCCAACTAGAGTCGATTCGTCTGAGGCACTTGACGATTCGACTCGATTCGCACGGAGTCGATCCGCATCACCGGAAGTCAAGACCCGTGAAATAATGATACATGAACGTTACTTGTTCTTGAAACGTGACTACAAACTTGAGTCGATTCGT